AAAGGCTCTGATTTACGGCCTGGAAGGAAAGACCAGTAGAATGGTCAAACGATAACGTGCACTATAAAAGAGGGGCCCCGAAGTTGTTTGAGTTCAGTGATCGCATTGAAAATGAATCGTTTGGTATTGAGTGTGGTGGCGCTGGTCGCCCTGAGTGCCTGCTGCCAGGGACACCCGGACATCGACTTCCCCTTCGGACGGATCGTCAACGGCGAGGACGCCGAGATCGAGAGCTTCCCCTACCAGGTGTCCATCCAGACAACCAAGGGCTCCCACTTCTGTGGCGGCAGTCTGATCGACTCGGAGACCATCCTCACCGCCGCCCACTGCATGCAGTCTTATGCCGCCAACGAGCTTCAGGTTCGCCTGGGATCCAAGTCCAGGAGCTCCGGCGGCGAGGTAGTCGGCGTTCGGGCCTTCAAGTTCCACGAGGGCTACAACAGCAAGCTGATGGTCAACGATGTGGCCATCATGAAGCTGAGCACCCCTGTTCGCCAGACCAGCAAGATCCGTGCCATCGAACTGGAGAGCTCCCAGCCCGTTTCCGGAACCCCTGCCGTCGTCACCGGCTGGGGCACCAAGTGCTTCCTCGTCTGCTCCTCCCCCGAGAACCTGCTCCAGGTGACCGTTGACCTGCTGCACTACACGGACTGCGCTAGCGACACCTTCAGCTACGGAGCTGAATCGATCCGGGAGACCATGGTCTGCGCCACTGGCGAGAAGAAGGATGCCTGCCAGGGTGACTCCGGCGGTCCTCTGGTGGCCAACGGAAAGCAGGTGGGCGTCGTCTCCTGGGGCCAAGGATGTGCCTGGTCCAACTACCCCGGTGTCTACGCCGATGTCCCCTCCCTCAAGCAGTGGATCGAAGATACCAGTGCCACGTTGTAAAAAATTCAATAAATGCAAAGTTATTTCAAGAGATATGGCTGTATTGATGACTTTTTAAAATTATCATACGGGTGGAAATCTAATCCAACACAGGGCGATTGCGAAGCGCACCAGAAGAATGTGCTAAGACGACTACTACATATAGCCGCAGAATTGAAAATCTGCAGTGATAGTCCGATCATAACGATATAACGATCGAAAGGTATTGTGATTTTTTTTAATTTTAATAAGGTCTTTAATAAGCCAATTGGTTTAAAAGGAACTGCACTGGAAGTAGAAGAAGTTAAATTTAGAAGACTTAACCTAGCGAAATCGGAGAAGCATAATGTACCAATTTCTTAATTTCATAGTCTTTAACAAATGCTCATTACTGAGACTCATATTCGTCCCAGTCTTAAAATGTACCTACCTGGTTATGACCAATACTTTGCCAGTTAGCCTAGTAACACAGCTAACGGCATTTCTGCTATTCTTATTAAGACCAACATTATTTAAACTCAGATTGAGTCCATAACATGAACTGATTCACAGCTGGCTAGACTCGATCTAACAACAAATGGAGGTGTCCATAAAATAGCTTCATTGTATTTTCTTCCCAGCGTGAACTGGACAAAAACTATTTCGACCAGCTACTAGCCTCTCTGTGTCCGAAATTTTTGGCTGAAGGCGACTTTAATGTCAAGCATCAATTTAAGATCTTGTCGGGGAAAGCGTCTTCAAGAGGGCATATCTTCTAGCTCTATCCAAATCCTAGCTACTGGGGACCTACCTTTTTTTCTTCGAATACCAGACTTACGCCAACAGCGCTGGACTTTTCAACGGAGTTCCACTTAATAAACTATCGATCGAAACAAAACACATAAGGAAGTCAATACTACAGCCCGATTCCTCTGTTGAAAAGTTTAAGGAAACCCTGGACAGAAGCATAAGTCTCAACACTGTGATGAAGATTCAGGTTCATGGGAAAAATATACACTGCTGCGACAGCTGCTACCCTGAACCAAAGGCATCCTCCGGACCAAAATTGATGCAATCTGGACCGACAAAATGCTTTAGTTTTCATACAGCTGAAAAGAAACGCTGAAGATTCTTCCCATTAAAGCACTGCTATTTATAGGCCTGTTGTTTAACAGCGTCTTAAGGCTGAGTCATTACCTAAGTGCATGGAAAGTGCTATTATCACGATGATCCCCAAGCCTGGAAAGCAACCCACCAAAGTAGACGCATGCAGGCCAACTAGCCTATTACCTGCATTTGGCAAAATGATGGACAGAGTGATACTGGATCGGATCCTTGGACTAGAAAGTGCAAGCAGAGCTTTTCCTAAGCGGCAGTTTGGCTTCCGAAAAAGTCACGGTACACCTGAACAGCTACATCGCGTGGTAAATTTTGCTCTGGAAGCCATGAACATTCAACAAGTCTTTTAGGGTATGTCACGAAGGTCTCCTAATCAAGCTAAAGAACCTACTAACGCCACAGCTATTCCTCCTCATTCAGAATTCTTATTGGAAAGGAAATTTAGTGTAATTGTCGGATATGTCAGATTCCTGGGGCTGTACCGAAGTTGATGATGATAACATCCTCGACACAACATACGCCGACGACACTGCGGTTATGGTCAGGAGTACTGCAGGAGTACGTCACACGTTTTACAAAGTGGACTGCATAATGGAATATAGGCATCCACGCAAGAAAATGTGCTTGTGTCACATTCTCCACAAGTCCAATGAATGGCTCAGACATTTCGACACGAGTCCTACTACATGTACCTAAGTGTGATTTTGCTTAAAGGACTGACTTTCCAGAGTCTAATGAAATTAAAATGTAAATTAAATAGAATTAATGTATAATCTTGGAAACCAACATTTTGTTATCCCCTATAATTACAACCTCCTCAAGCTACCACATAGGTAGCAGAACAAATGTTAAATTTGAATAAATATACACTTCTTATATAAAAATATCTGTTTATAACCAAGTTGTCGCAAAAAACAAAATACAAAAAAAAAAATTTGAAATTACGAAACCCATTTTAAGATGCATTTCAGTTTCGAGTACCTCGACTATCAGATACCCGTTACTCAAAGGGAAATGGAGATATGCAAGCAGCAAAGCGAGATTAAAATGCGCCACCTACCGGCGGTAGACAGATTTAAGCGCTATGGGCGTTAGAGTGGGCGTGGCAAATTTATTTTTGGATCAATCGATAGGTATTGACGACACCAATACATTTCAGTTAAAATTTTTTATCTAGCATGCAAATTGTGGGCGTCACAGGTTTTCGCGGTTTGTGGGCGTTTAAGTGGGCGTGGCAAACTTTTTTTTGGGTCAATCGATAGGTATTGATGAGAACAATACATTTCAGTTAAAATTTTTATTCTAGCATCAAAACTGTAGGAGCCACAGTTTTGGGCGGTTTGTGGGCGTTAGAGTGGGCGTGGCACTGTGCCGAAACAAACTTGCGCTGCGTAAGAAGCTCAGGAATCTGCACGCCAAATCTCAATAGCCTAGCTCCCATAGTTTCCGAGATCTCAGCGTTCATCCGGACGGACAGACAGACGGACAGACGGACATGGCTAGATCGACTCGGCTAGTGATCCTGATCAAGAATATATATACTTTATGGGGTCGGAAACGCTTCCTTCTGCCTGTTACATTATTTCCGACGAATCTAGTATAACCTTTTACTGTACGAGTAACGGGTATAACCATTCCGAAATGTGAAATTGACATTGTCATCCCATTTTTCTAAAAGAAGTTCACTCCATAACAGGATACAAAAACGTTTACAATGACTAAACCTGTAACAAATTAAAGGCAGACTTTTGGCTTTTTATTCATTTGCCTGAAATTAAAACTGAAAACAAGGAAGAACGCTATAGTCGAGTACCTCGACTATCAGATACCCGTTACTCAGCTACATGGAGATATGCAAGCAGCAAAGCGAGATTAAAATGCGCCACCTACCGGCGGTATACAGATTTAAGCGTTACGGGCGTTAGAGTGGGCGTGGATCAATCGATAGGTATCGACGAGACCAATACATTTCAGTTAAAATTTTTTATCTAGCATGAAAATTGTGGGCGTCACAGGTTTTCGCGGTTTGTGGGCGTTAAAGTGGGCGTGGCAAACTTTTTTTTGGGTCAATCGATAGGTATTGATGAGAACAATACATTTCAGTTAAAATTTTTATTCTAGCATCAAAACTGTAGGAGCCACAGTTTTGGGCGGTTTGTGGGCGTTAGAGTGGGCGTGGCACTGTGCCGAAACAAACTTGCGCTGCGTAAGAAGCTCAGGAATCTGCACGCCAAATCTCAATAGCCTAGCTCCCATAGTTTCCGAGATCTCAGCGTTCATCCGGACGGACAGACAGACGGACAGACGGACATGGCTAGATCGACTCGGCTAGTGATCCTGATCAAGAATATATATACTTTGTGGGGTCGGAAACGCTTCCTTCTGCCTGTTACATACTTTCCGACGAATCTAGTATACCCTTTTACTCTACGAGTAACGGGTATAATTATTTGAAATTCACAATAAAATAAAAAATTTATTTTATAAAATCTTGAAAGTAATTCAAGAACGCCTGATGACTCCTTAAAGAGATTTTCAATAACTTGATCTTTAGAAAATGAATATAAATGTTATAATATTTGATTGATATTTGCACACATATTTAAATGGAGTAAATACTGGGATTTCTCATTTATTAAAACCTTCTAAAACGTCTAGGCTGAAGAGAGCTCATTTTAATTATGATGCATAATTAAGTATGATGTCTTAAAGGTTAGTTTTTTATTACTTTACAATGAGTATTTCCCAAGCCATTGACGTACTCCAAAAATACCCAGATCAATATAATCGAATACATTTTAGATTTTCCCATCTATTAAGCTTTAATATCGGCAGATAATGCCTGGGAATTGGCACGCGTTTATGGCCGACAGCAAAGTCATCTAATCATGAGACATTAGAATTGCGTTAGGGGGCGAGACTCCTGATAGGGGGGCTCTGATTTACGGCCTGGGAGACAAAGCCAGTAGAATGGTCAAACGATAAGGTGCTTTATAAAAGACGAGGGCTCGAACCGCTTTTAGATTAGTGATCCCATTGAAAATGAATCGTTTGGTATTGAGCGTGGTGGCGCTGGTCGCCCTGAGTGCCTCCTGCCAGGGACACCCGGACATCGACTTCCCCTTCGGACGGATCGTCAACGGCGAGGACGCCGAGATCGAGAGCTTCCCCTACCAGGTGTCCATCCAGACGACCAAGGGCTTCCACTTCTGTGGCGGCAGCCTGATCGACTCGGAGACCATCCTGACCGCCGCCCACTGCATGCAGACCTATGCCGCCAACGAGCTGCAGGTTCGCCTGGGATCCAAGTCCAGGAGCTCCGGCGGTGAGGTGGTCAGCGTGCGGGCCTTCAAGTTCCACGAGGGCTACAACAGCAAGCTGAAGCTCAACGATGTGGCCATCATGAAGCTGAGCACCCCCGTGCGCCAGACCAGCAAGATCCGGGCCATCGAACTGGAGAGCTCCCAGCCCGTTTCCGGAACCCCTGCCGTCGTCACCGGCTGGGGCACCAAGTGCTTCCTCTTCTGCTCCTCCCCCGACACCCTGCTGCAGGTGGCCGTCGACCTGCTGCACTACAAGGACTGCGCCAGCAGCACCTACAAATACGGATCTGAGTCGGTCATGGAGACCATGGTCTGCGCCACCGGCGAGAAGAAGGACGCCTGCCAGGGTGACTCCGGCGGTCCTCTGGTGGCCAACGGCAAGCAGGTGGGCGTCGTCTCCTGGGGCCAAGGATGTGCCTGGTCTAACTACCCCGGCGTCTACGCCGATGTACCCTCCCTCAAGCAGTGGATCGAGGATACCAGTGCCTCGCTGTAAAAAAATAAATGCAAGAGTGCCTTTTTGTAAAAAAATCAATAAATGCAAGAGTATTTCAAGAGATTTGGTTGTGTTAATGACTATTTATATTATCATATGTGTGGAACTCTGTTCCAACCAAGGGCGATTGGAACTAGTATTTATCCCTGTGGACGGCAGTACAAGTAGCCTGAAGACTGTGCGAAGGCGACTACTATATATAGACGCAGAATTTAAAATCTTCAGTGATGGTTTTTGGTTATAAGATCTTTTCGGCTTATTTATTGATTCAGAAAAAAATGCGGTGAAAGTAAAAAAAGATTAAGCTTAGAAGATCTTTTAGTTTTTGCATGTTCTATACCAAAATACGCGTCCATTGGTACCAAAACCATTGCAAGCGATATTGTGGCGTTTGTTTTATAACGAAACCCGAAATGGAAATAGATTCTTTTAAAAGTGTTGAAAGTTTACGAACTGAACAATCTTATTACAAGTCTAACAGTTGAATAATTTTCAAGAAAATGGATTAAAGCAAAATTGTATTTTCAAGGAGTTATAGTCGTTTAAAGTTATAATTAATTTTGGTTTCGACATTATGCATGACATTTTCGAAGGCGTACACATTATTATTTCTTTAGTTAATTACAGAATAATCACTTTAAATGAAATAAATAGCAGAAAATCGCTATTTCCATACGGAGATACAGAAGTTGACAATTCGTTTGTAAAAATATATATGAATCGACTAAAAACATTTAATTTAAAAACGTCTGCAAGCAAAACAGAATGTCTTACCCACTTATTGCCCTTAATGATTGGAGACAGAGTTCCACACGGTAATTAGGAATGAAAAATGTTATTAACTTTTCTTGATGTAATAGAGTTTTTTTTAGTCAAATTATGGGAAAAAGGAATTAGAGACGCTACGAAACTTAGTGCAAAAACATCACACTATTTACGTTAAATCATTTGGCAAGTTAAAGCCTAAACACCATTTTATGGTCCATTATGCGAAAGCCATTAAAAAGTATGGATCTTTAAAATATTTGTGGTGTATGAGGTTTGAGGCGAGACACAACGAATCCAAGATTTATTTTCTTCTCGAAATCGGAATCGAATCGATGTTGAAACCAAGAACGGCTTTTCTCGAAATCGACCATTCTCAAAAGCCCGTTCGCCGAGAAGATTTCGATGACGATTTATGGATTTTTAGTATGAATCGATCTTTGCCCACTTTTGAGATCGAAAATGCTGAGATCAAGAACGCTGAGAACTGTTTTTTCTCTGAGTGTAGTTTCTTACCATGTTAAAAGGTGTTTTGGATGAGAAATATTTCCGTAACACCCCCATTAGAGTGATTTTTAATTAGGCTCCTAATCAGCAACCAGGAAGTGATCTCCAACTTCTTCTGTTGTGCTTATCTGCGCCCGCCGGTGTCTTTACCAAGTTCAATTAACTTAACGCCCGAGGGGAACAACTGTTTTGCACCATTAGCTGAGGAAATGAAATCTTGTGGGGACTTGGAGACAAATAAGAAGACGTTTGAGCCCAATGGCCAGTGCAAAGTTGAAGCCAACCTGAATTGATCAAGCGAAAACCTCCATCCATATGTGTTCCAAAGGTTTCAAATGTCCTCATTTTGGAACGAACCCTAGATGAAATCATCTCTACAGCTAAATTTGAGATACGTACATCTAAATTCGGAATTACTCGCATATACACTGACAGTGCAGAGGCATTCCGCAATGTGGTCCGTAGCCTGACTGCCTTAAATTACGAGTTTTGGCATCACCAACTCCGGGAGGATAAGCCATTTAAGCTGGTGCCGAAGAACATATATATTTCACAGCCAAAGTGATGGTGATAGGCAAAATATATGAAATTGTCAAGATGACTCCGAATGTCGCCGAGTAGCTAAAGTAGTAGATAGAGTGGAAAAGGCTACTCGCAATAAGGACCTCGACCAATGTTATAAATGCAAAAATTTTGGACACTATTTTACTTTGCTATTTAATGAAGCCTGTTTTTGGGAATTGTGCCGGGGATCATCCTACCAACTAAAACCACCGTGCTGGTTTTAAGGGCTGCAAAGTCAGGATATAATTAAGCAAAAAACTCAAGCAAAAACTCAACAGGAATTTGTCTACTTTAGAGAAGGCAATCGTTGATATAAACGCTAGGCTGGATCAACTCTTTAAGATAGTCATGGAAACTGTTGAGTCGAACAAGGCTTTCAGGTTCTAATTTCTAGAAAATGACAGTCTTAACAATAAAAAAAAAACTTTGTCTTTTCCTTATACGCAACTCAATATACATAATGGAACTCTGAAGCTCCGTGGCTTATGGGGATCAGAGACATCAAACATGATCTCAACGTGCCCAAACTTGGACACAAGATGCAGGAACTTACTCGGAAATACATGGAAAGGCTAAATGAGCACCCCAACAGCCTAGCCAGAAAACTTAACTTAACGCTTAGACTAATTATTGTATTATTATTGTAAAAACCGATTAGATTAAGCTGCCAGTTGGGTAACAGTGTGCTAATCTTAAGAATAAAATTTCCACATTTAATAAAAAAAATATTTTAACCAAGTAATCCTGAACACAAAAAACAAAACAAAAAATTTTGAAAGTACTAAGCCCATTTTAAGATGTAAGTTCATTTATTATTCATGCAAAATCTTGTCATAATAAAACAAAAATTCCTTTTATAAAATCTTAAAAGTAATTCAAGAACCTCTGATGACTCCAGATAGAGAGGATCTATCAGTACAATAATTTGTGCTTTTGAAAATGAATAAAAATGTTTTAATATTTGATTGACATTTGCACACATATTTAAAAAGCGTCAATACTGGGTTTTCTCCTTTATTGAAACCTTCTGAAGCGTCTAGCTTAATGAGAGTTTAAGTTTTAAGATCAATAAATTATGTTTTTTTTGTTTTATTTTAAGATCAAGAAATTATTATCTATGATTATGTATGATTTCTTAAAGGTAAGCTTTTATTACTTTACAATGAGTACTTCCCAAGTACCAACACAAGCCATTTACGTACTCCAAAAAAAACCCAGATCAATATAATCGCACACATTTTAGATTTTCCCATCTATTTAACTTGGTTGGAACTTTGCCAGATAGATTTAATATCGGCAGATAATGCCTGGGGATTGGCACGCGATTATGGCCGACAACAAAAACATCTACCCATGAGACATTGGAAGGGAGTGAGGGAGCGGGACTTCTGATAGAGAGGCTCTGATTTACGGCCTATGAATGGTCAAACGATAAGGTGAACTATAAAAGACGAGGCCTCCAACAGCTTTTAGATTACTGATCGCTTTGAAAATGAATCGTTTGGTATTGAGCGTGGTGGCGCTGGTCGCCCTGAGTGCCTCCTGCCAGGGACACCCGGACATCGACTTCCCCTTCGGACGGATCGTCAACGGCGAGGACGCCGAGATCGAGAGCTTCCCCTACCAGGTGTCCATCCAGACGACCAAGGGCTCCCACTTCTGTGGCGGCAGTCTGATCGACTCGGAGACCATCCTGACCGCCGCCCACTGCATGCAGTCCTATGCCGCCAACGAGCTGCAGGTTCGCCTGGGATCGAAGTCCAGGAGCTCCGGCGGTGAGGTGGTCAGCGTGCGGGCCTTCAAGTTCCACGAGGGTTACAACAGCAAGCTGATGGTCAACGATGTGGCCATCATGAAGCTGAGCACCCCAGTTCGCCAGACCAGCAAGATCCGAGCCATCGAACTGGAGAGCTCGCAGCCCGTTTCCGGAACCAGTGCCGTCGTCACCGGCTGGGGCACCAAGTGCTTCCTCTTCTGCTCCTCCCCCGACACCCTGCTCCAGGTGGCCGTCGACCTGCTGCACTACAAGGACTGCGCCAGCAGTACCTACAAATACGGATCTGAGTCGGTCATGGAGACCATGGTCTGCGCCACCGGCGAGAAGAAGGACGCCTGCCAGGGTGACTCCGGCGGTCCTCTGGTGGCCAACGGCAAGCAGGTGGGCGTCGTCTCCTGGGGCCAAGGATGTGCCTGGTCTAACTACCCCGGCGTCTACGCCGATGTACCCTCCCTCAAGCAGTGGATCGAGGATACCAGTGCCTCATTGTAAAAAAATTAAATAAATGCAAGAGTATTTCAAGAGAATTGGCTGTTTTTATGACTCTTTTAAATAATCATATGGGTGGAAATCTCTTCCAACTACAGAGCGATTGGAATTCGTGAACGGCAGTACACGTAGTGACGATGCGCACCAGAAGAGCATGCGAAGCCGACTACTATACATATATATCCGCAGAATTGAAAATCTGCAGTGATCAAGGTACTGTGATTTCTTTAATTTTGGGATTTAAGATCTTTAATCATCCGATTGGATCAGGAGAAATTTCGGTAGTTAAATTTAGAAGATTGTATTCTATACAAAAATACCATTCCAATACAACACTCCATTGCATTGAACTTTAGCCAACTTTCAAATAGAATCCTGAAAATATGTTGTCGGATTTTCGTCAATAAACTTGATATCAGAAATTTTGTTTGTTGAAGGTGCGATCCACACAAGTTTCTTACCTTGTAAAGAGGTTTTTTGGAAGGAAAATATTTCCGTAACACCCCCGTTGGAGTGCTTTTAAATGGGGCTTTTTCGAAATTTGAAATTGGTATTTCCCATTCGATTTTTTATAACCTAGTTACCCCGAAAACAAAATACAAAAATAAATTATATAATTACTAAGCCCATTTTATAATGTTAGTTAGTTTAAATATGCGTTGGATCTAAACATTACTTTACAAATATTTCTGTGTCAGCCCCTATCGAAGTGCTGTAAAATTTAACCTTTCCGAAATATAAAATTGACATTGTCATCCCATTTTTTTAAAAAAAAGTTCACTCCACAACCAGATACAAAAACGTTTAGAATGACTAAACCTGTAACAAATAAATGTTTATAGAACAGTCCTTGGACTATTTATTTCTTTGTCTGAATCAAATTTACCAATTTGAAGTACATTCTGGAGATTTTTTCTCAAATGAACTGAAAGTAAAACTGAAAATTATTTGAAATTT